CTTTTGCAGTTGCGAGCGCCGTGAAATTCTAACAAAACCAAACGACACGTCAACCTACCTGGACGCACCAGCGTCGCACAGAGACCGAGGAAACACCAACACAATCCCGAGACCGACCTGGCCGAAGAATTAAATAGATCAAGAAAGCGCTCTGACATACGATGGTATACACAAGAAGAAAGAAGGGCGGGAAGATCGCGTATAAATAGCGGAGTTCACGTCGCCGCAGTTGTATGGAAATAGCCACTCCGCACCCATCGAGACGTCACATCAGGATTAGGCAAATCGTGGGGGCTGAGAGTGGAGAAGTGAAAGGAAGACGAGATAGAAATGATTTCCGCAGTCGCGTCGCGAGGTGGACGGTTGAATATGTGACACGGAAAAGGGTTTACGCTGGTGAAAGAAGAGATTATGTCTGATTAATAGGCGACTAATAATAAATTACTCCTTTTGCGTTTGGGTGCTGTTGTTGTTGTTTTTGTTATGACGTTCTCGTTGCTGTTGCTGTTATAGTTGTTGTTATTTTGGTAGATGGGAGACTTGATTTAAGGATGCAACAACGTTCAATGGTGATGATGGCTATTGTTGTTGTTGTTGTTGTTGTTTAGATGTTGCTGCTTCCGTTGATGATGGTTTTTGTTGTTGTTGCTGTTGTTGTTGTTATTGTTGTTGTTGACGACGATGACAACGACGACGACGACGACGACGACGACAACGACGACGACGATGATGATGATGATGATGATGATGATGATGATGATGATGATGATGATGATGATGATGATGATGATCGTTCCATATCTGAAAAGAGGAGATTGCAGAAGAGAAAGAGGAGGAGAAAGAGAAAAACTAAGGGGACAAAGAGTGGGATGAGGAGGAGAGGGAGGAGGAGAATAGGATGTGGTGGTGGAGGAGGAAGAGAGAGAGGAGGAGGAGGGGTGATAGGATGTGGGGGTGGAGGAGGAGGAGGGAGAGGGGGGGAGAGGTGAAGAACTATGTGGAAGGAGGAGTGGGAGGAGGACTGGGAGGAGGAGGAGACGGAGGAGGAGGAGGAGGAGTTAAGGTTGAAGATCCCGGAACGAAAACACGGACAAAACCATGTACCGTTATATCCGGGTAAGTTGAATATTGATGGCTCCTTGAAGATACAAGAACATTTAAATTGCGGGGACCCTCAAAAGCTCCTGCACACGTGGGCACAATAGGGGTGGGCTGAAACACTGTTTAGGAAAGGGAGAAGGCACCTGAAGGAAATGGAAGTGTTAACGAACCAGCTCAGAATCTTGTTTTATCCATTTTTTCTGGCTAGCTCTTCCGCCTCTCCTTGACACTTTGACACTCAAAAAATGTTAAGTGAAAATAGTACATGTAGGCTCACTTACTTATGGCACTGCGCAGACGATTATTTTACTGAATTACTCAACTACGCCACAGCTGCTGTTGGTCTCAAGAATCGTCACGTCTTTCCTTTTTTTTTTAAAGAGGGGGTGGGGGGTGCTTCATTTTAACACTCTTCAAAAAGAGCCACATGTAGGCCCACTGTTGAACTTGTCTGAGACAGCCATCCATTGTCGAGGAGAAAAGTGATTGTCTTGGAGAGGGGGGATGTCTTTCATGGCGTCATTATGTTTTTTAAAAGCAAATGGGGTGGGGGGGGGGGGGGGATTCGCTGTTTGTACAGGTGATTGTCCTATACAGAGGGTCATAAGAAAAGGTTTGACTGTTTTTTGCACTTTGTGGTATCTTTAATTTTATCTCTCATCTCTGACACGACAAGACAGAAAACCTCACAAACCCGTGCCTAGTGTTGGACTCAAAACAAGGCCCCAAAGCTATAGTCTACCATTTCTCTGAGTCTAATGTTCAGAGACTTCTGATGTTATCTTATGGAATATATTGTGAGAGAAGAGATAGGCAGGTATACCCATTTTTGTTACTGTTTGAACCAACACGCTTTGTTCTATATATAACTGTAGGACAGTAAATTGATGTCACTGTTGTTGGTTTTGATACTCACTTGAACTTTGTTGACTTTAATTTTAATACTCACTTGGCTTGAGCCACTTTGGATATTTTATATAACTATATCATATAATTTGGCAATGCTAGATTTTCGCTTATCATGAGCTAATTAGGGTAATTTGGAATGGAGGTTTCGGAATCCCCAAACATTAAGCTAGCATCTGCGTTTGTCGCGGCTGTGACCCGATTTTTTGGCATATTTTGGTCCGCGAATAGCGGCCGCGATTTTTGCAATTTTCAACAACAACAAAAATATAATAAATTAAAAAATAACACCGCCGGGAAGGGGGAGGGGGGGGGTTCGAAAAATGGGGAATAAATATCGAAAAAAAAGAAACAACTCGAACCTCTTTACTTTTAGACAGAAAGTTTATTTTCACTTCCACTTCACTCAGTCGCTTTCTCACTTGTTGACACACCACTTGTTATTTTCATGTGAAAAATATTGCTACAATACATCCTTTTAGATTTAGATCTAGCTTTTTTCTCTTTTACTTTTTCTCTTTGTTGTGTTTTATTTTGTAGGTGTTGTCATTTTTTTTCTTGTATTGTTCTGATGTGCTGTTTTTCTAATTTTTGTGTCATTTAATTTGATGTTGTTCCTACCTTTAAGAATATATATGAGTTATGTTATGTTAGAGCGTGTCTCCACCAAAACCAAACACATGCACTGACGCAGGCCCCTTATGTGTAATTCCACAATTTACATGTAATAACCTGTACTTTTTCTTGAATTACGCACGTTGAGGGTTAAAACGGCCAATCTTCAGATAGATGTACGCACGCCCTAATTTGTTAATTTTTGTGGTTGTTTATGTGCTGTTCTAATTTTGATTTCATTCTGTTGTGAAACCTTTATTTTTCACGTTTTCACACTCTGTGTGGCTACAAGTGATATTCTGGATGCTTAAAACAGAGCACAAGAAATTCTAGTGCCTTAGATTCAGTCGCCTCTATCAACGTATTGCTATAAGTCGTCACAGAGAGTTGAAAGCTTGAAAATCAATGACAACTTTTATGGCAACTTTAGACTTTTTTTGTGGCAGCGTTTGGCAACTTTTGGGGGGAAAATGACAACAAACGCAGATGCTAGATTAAGTAATACCCCAGCCCGCGAAAGCAATTTTCTTTCCTTAGCTGGAGACGCACCAGGAGGATGGGGCACACCCGTGGTGGACCCTAGTTACACCCAAAGAATCTGTTGTGGGTGAACTCACTGCTAGCAGGATACCGGCCGGGAGGGCAGACCTGCTCTCGGAGGAAGTCCATACATGTAAGCCAACAGTTGGACACGGATAGTCTAACTCAAACACGATGGTTGGAGATTGTCAATTAATGTGTTCGACGCATCAGTAATTCGGGTAAATCGACAAAGCTGAACATTAAAGAGATATCAGTCATGTAATGGCTAAATGTTGGTGACAAGCTATCCGTGTTTTCTATGTTCATGTTATCTGGGTCTGACTTTGTGTACAAAAGAGACTTGAATCTTGAATCCTCCCAGTGTGGACACAGTATTCAAACAGTCGAGGGACTATATCTAACGATCACAATGCTAGGATCAGTTTCTGTTGGCACAAGGACAGCGGAGACAAGAAGGCTTCACCACAAAATGGACTGAGAGCTAAGCAAAAGGACGAGCACCTTGATGCTCAAAAATGACATTTTTGACCCTTTAAAAAGTATTGAAATCATTGTCATGTACCCAAAAACTGTGAAAACAGTGCTGCACGTTGCCAGCACTCGAAACAGTCAGAAGCCAGCATCTATACTTCTGCAGTCTCTCTAGCTCCAATAGACTGCTTTTAAAAAATCCAGCAGTGGTGTCGAGTGGGTTGTAAAGAGAGTGGAGTTTGCCGTGACCGAACACGAAGTCGGTCATATTATAAATGATAAACCATGACTCAAAAGACTGCCGATTGATATGTTCCAAGTCTATTGACAGTGAGCTATATTCACAGGGGCAAAGCACTAACACGTGTTTCCATGAGTATTCTTCACTATCCCTTGCTGCACTAAAGGAAATACGTTACATTCCAGATTAAAACAAATCCACGTCACTAATACAGCACAAAGATGCTTGTTTTACGGTTTTTCCAATGTCTACACACATAACTCAGGTGTACACAGCAGACAAGACATCACTGATTGTTAACCTGTCCAAAACTCCATGCAAAGGTGCACCTACTATCTAAGCTAATGACATCACCACAGTAACACGTCTTGAAAGGTTGTAATCATCCTAAAGACATTAATGAAAAGATGTACCGGCATTGGAGCGCAGATAGATCTGCATTTGTGCTTCACAGATTATTCATAGGATTTCGATTACGTTAGACATGATGAGCTATTTAAAATTTTGGAAAATCTAGACACAGGTGGAAAAGATCTAAGATTTAATAAGAATTTGTACTGGGACCAAACCTCTGTGTTAAGAATTGATGGAGAATACCACGGATATAGACAGGTTAAAAGAGGAATGGGGCAAATATGCATTACGTCACCAGATCACTATGTTTTAACACACCAACAGAGAAATATTCCTAAGAAATGTTGAAGAATATCCTGGTCGCAAAGGGAATTGTGAAAACGTTAATAACATTAGATATGTCTACAACACAGTTTTAACAGTGAATTCTGGGATCCTACTGTTGTTACAGAAATAAGTTAACAAAAATGGTTATTGCTGAATTTGAAAAAGACAGAAAGCATGGTGATATGAAAAAAAAAGAAGAATAAAATCCTATTTGTAACCTCGTAGGCAAAGGCGATGATCAAACAATTCTAAATAGGCTACTGTATGCACCCTGCCAACTGTGTACCGCACAGCCTAAATAAAACAAAGATTTGCATCGGCTAAAGACAGTTTATATAAGTATTAAGATGAGTCCAAACCAGAAAAATAGAGCACCTCAAAGGTTACAAAAATAAAAGTTCCAAAAGGCTATACGTGTGTTCAAAAACATTTTATACGACTGTGAATGCTGGGCAATCGCTAAAACCAGTGAAAATAAAATAGAAGCAATACAAATAATAGGCCCATGTTTTTAGGAGACTGTTGAGAAATTCTTAGAAAGAAAAGAAATTTATTGAGTACTTGAAGAAGTCCATGTGATAAAAGCAATTAGGAAGAGGGAAATACAGTGTCTGGGACACTTGAATCACGGCGCACGAAATCAGCCGAAATCGCGCCTTTTAGTTGTACCGCGGCTCCTGCCGCCCGGCGGTGATTTATCACCTCGCCCGGTACCTGTTGACCTTTTTTATTGGGGTCGTTTGACCTCGTCGCACCGTTATAAACTGGGGTGCGTTCTTGATAAAATCGTCTCATTTACTGTCTAAATTACAGTGGTGCCGTAAGACCCACCAAGTAGTTTTAATTTATAGACTTTAGCAACACCATTTCTCAACCTTTAAAAGAAAGTCCCAGTCTTCTACGTGTTATACCAAGTGTTCTACACGTGTCTGTTCGCTGCCCGTGTAACACGCTTTTCTTATTTCAAACTGAGGATAAATAATCATTTATTACAACAAAACCGTGCATTGAATTTTTTGGGGGATTCGATTTGTGAGTTCATTAATAAATCATGTTTTGAGTGTATAAATTTCAGTACTACCGTATTTGTGGTTGTTAAGCTACATCGGATTATTATGTTGGTCCCCCGAATTTACTAACGTTATTGCCGTATACAACGAAGACCTTAAAATGGAGCACACCCCTGAAAGTCATGTATCCGCTTTAAACTGTCTGTGTAGAGTGTGCGGAAGGCTGAACATTACAGGGAAGCAGAGAAAATCCTTTAAAAAGCCGTATTTGTGTTCGGAAATAGCCAGTGACCTCTTCCTTGTGTTTGGGTTGAGTATCAAAGATGACGCTAGTGATAAACACTCCAAATTTGTGTGTTTGAAATGCTATAAAACAATCCATGACGCTAAACGTCGAAATAGTGCAGTGTCCTTACAAACACTAAGAAACACTTTTGACAGCAGTCAACACATCTGGTGTGCTTACAATGAAAACTGTGATGCAAAAACATGCACAGTCTGTGAACAGAAAAGGCTGCTCTCTCTTGGCTGTGCAACAGTAAAGCCCCGTGACCCCCAGTCTCACTCCAGCAGCCATGAAAAATACACACACCAAGCTAGTCCTAGCACCACATTTCTGAGACAGACACAACCACACAGAGTACATGTATCCGTGCTCTGAGCAAAGACTCAACACAACAAAACGACCCACACACAAGTACAAGTCAGACTTTCCACCCCCACCCTCAGTCTGTTGTCCCAGTCAGTGACCAACACGTAGATGCACAACATGCAGACACAATGGTTCAGGACAGTCACATCGTAGCTCACACCGACACAATCAGTCAGAGTCAGAGCACATCGGTCACAAATTCTCCCATACCGCATGATAGCAGATAATAATAATATCATAATTAATAGCAGATAATAATAATATCATAATTAGGACCTTGAACTGGTAACATTGACGGCTATCGAGACAGGGCGGTAGACCGAGAGCAATCCATTTGGGTGACGGGAAAAGATTAGGATAATATAGCTTTTTTGAGAGCATCCGAGTAAAATAATAAATCGCGAACCATGACCGCCGATGTCTGTCGCAGATCTGGCACTTGATGATTATTAATTATTTTGTTCCAATGATTTCTTTGGGAAACGACTACTACTAATCTATAGACTCTACTGCTTAAACTACTATCTATGCCCATGAGTGTCTAGCATTCAGCCACTCACTCAGTATTGGCAGTCGGCAACGGCACAGTCTGGCAGTCGTAAACACGAGGCCCAGGAAACGTTCTTCAGAACAACGATGTTGACTCCAAAGTTTTCGTTGTCACAAGACAATGATTTTTTATTCATAAACATATATGCTCCACATCTAAAAGTGAAAGAAGCAGAGTGTCATGTTAACGATGATGAAGTGCATTTTTACTGCCAGCCGTACTATCTTCGTTTGCACTTGCCTGGCAAAGTAGTTGAAAATGAACGGTCAAAATCGACATACGACGCTGACACAGGCTGGCTTGCCTTGAGTCTTCCAAAGCAACACCGTGGGGAATATTTTGAAAATTTGGATATGTTGACTAAGCTTTTAACTCCCAAAAGTTCATCCTATGTGAGTGCGCAGGTTGAAGTGTTAGAGTCTGGAGTTGTTAAAGTGGAGGCCGGGAGTGCAGAAGTACAATCAGGACAAGGTAACGGGAAAGATGAAAGTGATCGTGAAACTGGGAAGGATGAAGGTGAAAGTGAAGGCACTGGTGATGTTGACGAGTCTTCTGAATTTGATTGGTATATTGAACAGACCCCTGTCAATGATGAGGAATCTGCTTCTTCACTTTTGGGGGGTATTTGTTACGGATTCGCTCTTCGGAAAACAAGTCCTCTGAACTCTTTGACTTCTGAGCTTCCAGACATGATAGATCTTAAAGAGCCTGATTTGGTGCCTTCAAAGCAGCGGTCCACCCTTCGTACTGAACAAGAGCAAGAAAGCTTTGACTGTGAACATTATCTTGCTGATCTCTTTGATGACAGTTTAATTCAAGAGGTTATAAATGTGAAACTCAAAGAACTCACTGGAACAGAAGGTGTTTCTACTATTCTGTCAGAAAAGGATCAAGAACTGTTACTACAGCTTCCTCGAAGAGAATACATTATTGATGATTCAGTTTTGACATCTGTTTACCTAGGTCTTGTGGATCTTTTGTTAGCTTATGCATTTGATTTTCGTCAGACATATGGAGAACATAGTGTGGAATCAGATTGGGTGATATGTAAACTTAGTAGTTCATTGTCTTGGCTGGACTCGTTCTCAGATTTGAAAGAAGTTGTTGTCAGTTTTGGAAGAAGATGTTTGTGTTTTCCTCTTTATCGTAACTGGAAGCTCTTTGAAAAGGTTCTTTCAGATGTGAAGTTGATACTTGATGTGGGAAAGTCACAAATCTTGAAGTGCCTTCTTGATATGAAAATGATTCTGGCTAAAAGCGAAGCACACTTTCCACTTGTGGAAATATTCATAACAGATTACTGTGTTTGGATTCAGAGTGCTTGTCCCAAGAGATTGAAATCGTTGTCAAAAGCTTTAAGTGAGATTCATGTATGTAAAAAGGACATGGGATTTAGACTTGAGGAGATGGAGGCAGATGCGGCAGCGCTGATGGCTGAGTGTGCAGAAGATGAGGAAGATCAAGATACAGACCTTAATAAACTTGCAACTGCCATTTCCAATGTAGTAAAAATAACTGATGCTGATGATAGTGATGATGAAAGCAGTGATGAAACTAGCAGTGAAGACGATTCTTCTTCATCAGAATCAGACTCTGACTCCGAGAACAACAGTCAAGACAAAAAGGATGGAGAGTGTCCTTCACCTGATGTTGCTGCTGTAAAAAAGGAGCAGACATGACCACTTTTTGATCTGATGTCTTTTGTTTACTGTTTGGCTGGCTTTTGCTGTCATGATAGGTACAAATGTAAATGAGATTGTTTATACTGTTCTACCTTGTTTGGGGTGAAAATGGGCCTTGTTTTTCATTTTACCTTTTCTATGGCAATTGAGACTTTGCTTACATGTTTACCCTTTGTCTCCAGGTAGCCAGTTAGCACTGGCCCCTGAGCTGATGCTGTTTGGCTGAGTGGCCGTGAATGAAAGACAAGAATGCGATAGTTGTAAACGGGTAGGACTGCTTAATGTTGAAACCTGACAAAACCCAGCGAAATCATAAATGGTAGGCCTGGGCAAAATTAACCCTGGAAGCATGCAGGCCATAGAGAAAACATACACGGTCCGTACACCCATCTGCATCTTGCACCATCCCGCTCTATTTGTGTAGGCCTCATTGGAATGATCATTATTGTAGACCTGCTTGTTTGCCGACAATCGTCTGAAATACGACAATCGCGACCCGACCCGCGAGCCGGCCGATGCTATCGCTTGGCCCACCTGTATTAGTCAATGTGCGAGGCCTGGCTGACTGCCAGCGCCCCCTTTTTCTCCCGTCGGCTTTGTCTGCACTTTCGTTTTCGTTCCGACGTCGGCATTTCAGACATAATTGTCGGAACCTGAGTAGAATTACGAATACGAAAAAGTACGACGACCTAAATTATCTACTTTCAGTTTCGTGCTCGAGCGGCCATTTTGAATTTCGTTTGTTTACTGATTGTTCAGATCATGTGGATTCTTTCAAGTCCGACTCACTTGTTCTACTCTAGATCTAGATTTATTGATCATTATAGACCTCAATGGAGGATTCATATTCCAATTCTATTGTGTCAAACCCTATTATAGGTTGTGCTGTAATATTAATGTTGATAAAATGCCTTTCATCAGGTGCGTGAATTATTTACTTAGAATAGATCTAGACAATCTAGATCTACTAGACTCACCCGAGTCCCTCTGTTCGGAATCGGATGCGGATTTCTCGTTCAAGGCCTATTCCTATTCACGTGTTCTACTAGATTTTTCTAGATCTAGATTTAGATATTTAGATTTATTTAGATCACTAGATCTATATGGAGATTTCATCTTCCAATTCTATTGTATTATATAAATTGTATCAAACTCTTAGCAATGTAGGCCATATTACAATGGAAACGTGATATAACAGGGATGGTGGGAGTAGAGAAAATGTCCTGTTATATCCGATCCCTATTAAATCAGAAATGCAAGGAAAGTAAGCATTTGTGGACTAATCCAGCTGTACTTATTCAAGGGTAGTTTCTTTTGCAACAAGTACCCACGAACAGGGGTTTTGGCACCAACTTTCTCCTTGCCTCCTTAAACCAAGTCAGAAGAGCTTGGTTCACAGCATCTACATCGGGTAGTCTCATCTTCTTTCGATCCAGAGCAAACTTTCCATTGGAGTATGCTGCCACTATCTTCGATAATGGTGTGAATTGACCCTTGTGGATTGTCGAACTGACGACAAATCTCGGCCAGTGGAGCTTGCTTTTTGTCAACAGCCTGGATTATTTCGTATTTTTTGTCAATTGGAAAGGCATTTTCTCTTGCGCTTGACACCGTTGGTGACACATTACGCGTGCATCTTGCTAGATTTCGGGCTAGATTGACGTCTGCAGCACACCGCAGCCCTCTCTTGCTTCACATCCATCACTGCGTTACTCTCTCTCTCCTCTCTCTATCCATCACTGCGTTACTCTCTCTCTCTCTCCCTCTCTCTCTCTCTCTCTCACTTTTTACACATTGTTAACGAACATTTGTCCTTGCTATAACCGGTTGGGCTCCGATGAGGCCCTGTTATTGCCGATAAATTTTAATAGAGACAAAGAGTAGGAAAAATCGGGGATTTAAAAAATCCCTGTTATTACCGGATCCCTTTTATTACCGGGCCTGTTATATATATATGGTTTCCACTGTATTATAATGCTCCTTGTTTGTTTTGGAGTGTGCTTTTTTTTTTTTTTTTGACTTGCTCTGGCTTTTTTACATGAGGGCCGTTGCAGGTTCTTTTTTGGGGTAGGCCTAGAGGTAGGGTCTGGGTTAGGGTTAGGTCTCTTCTTTATTGTGTTTGTTCGGGTGGTCACTCGTTACTCAGAAGTCCTTCCTTTTATGACACCCACAATTTAAAAGCTCTTAAGTTATGGGCGGGGAGGGAGGGGGGGGGGGGGGGTGCGCAAAATTTTCAGACAATCTGGTTGAGGCTCACATGCAGGTCTAATTATTGGGAGTAGCCAGGTGTGAGGGCAGATCTGCATGTATGTACTGTACATAGTGAAGCCTGTTGATTGGTCTATCTTCTTAATGAGGTCACTTTCTGATGGCTATTTTTATAACAAGTCACATGATGAGTTTTCCATCCTAAAAAAAATTTCGATTTTCTTTCTGTATTGGTCACTTTTTATATTTTAAAGTTTTTCATTGGTCTGCAGACACTTGTTCTGCAGACCGTACACCTCTCATTCAAGCACTTCAAACTGGTTGTACTTTTAAACAAGAATCTTAACATACACATTATTATTTTCATATTTAAATGATGTTTATTAGCAATTTTTCCTCAGGAAGTATTTTTACATACACACACACACCTACACACTCACTCATTCTGTCACTGCAAGTTGCCATGAAACTACTGATTTGGGCTGCACAAGTTGCATACAAAGGGGAAGTTCTTCAGCTCATCTTCATCAAGACCAGCTGCTGATTTAGTTACAACATGTGTGCCACCAAGAATCACAAGTTTTACAAGCCACCTACAGTTCAAGTTCAAACTCTCCTCCCCTTCTACAACATCTTCTACACTCATCTTCACGTACATCCTCCACTCTCCAGATCATCCTTGTCAGCCTCTCTCAACGCTTGCGCCATCTCTTTCATCAGACATCCATCATCATCTTGAACTTCATCACTTTCACTGCGCTTTCTCTTCCTTTGAGCCTCCCTTTCTATCTTCTTCATCAAAGCCTGATCTTTCCTCTTTTGTCGTTTACGCTCCATCTCAGCTGCCTTCTTCTGCTTCGGAACCTTTGCCATCTCCCTTTCAAATATCTTTTTCTCAAGGTCCTCTCTCATCTCTTGTCGTCTTGTCCTTCTCCTCTTTCTGTCTTGTCTGTTCTTTCAGCAAAATTGCTTCCCTGTGCTCTGCCCCACTGAGCACGTAGTACATGGTCGGCGTTGTCTTCTTTTTCTTTTGTTTTCCCTTGCCTGAGAATCATGGGACTCTGAGGATGTCGTCAAGAGTCAGTTGTACTCTGGATGGAGTGGCGACGTTTTCCTTCTCAAATGAGGACTTTAAGGAGGCTGCCAGGCTTTTGAATTTGGAGAAACCCTCATGAGTCTCCGTGGCATCTCTTGAGAGGGCCTGGAAACTTCGCAAAAAAACGTTCCTGCCGAGCTCGTCGGTCACAAACAGGGAAAAGTCTGTAATTGCCTCCAGCTGCCTTGCAGTGTAGATGCTTTCCTCCGATGCAACCGGACTGAGTGTTGGCACATGGTGGCTTGAGGTTGATGCAGGGGTAAGGGGCCGGCTCGCAGGGCTAGGGCTAGGGGGCCGGCTCGCAGGGCTAGGGCTAGGGGGCCGGCTTGCTGGAGTTGGTTGGCTGGATGCAGGCTCTTCCTCAAAATCCTATTGAAGCTCAAAGGGAGCTGGTGGCTCAGGTTCGTCCTCAGGTTGAGCAGCTCGTGGCAAAGGCTCAGTTGGTAGCTGGTCTCTGCTTCCACAGTTGGTGGCTGGTCACTGCTTCCACTTCGAGATGAGGGCACATCTCTATACACCCGATAAGGGTTCATCTTTTTGCTCCCCAGGACTCTCTGGGGGCGAAAAGGAAAAATACCTGCAGCCCTGTAGCTGGATTCAGAATTTTCCTTTGTTGCACACTTTTGCCAGACAGGCTGAATAACATTTGCAAAAGTGTCCAGCCCAACTGCATCACCTGTCTCGGCGAAATTGATATTTGCACCCCTGTCATTCTTTTCTTCTTGCCTGACTTTTGCGTTATACACCTGCTTTTTGTTTCGCTGTCCTTCTTCTACACCACATTCAGTGTACACTTCAGCTGGCTTTTCATGACTTTTGGATGAAGTCTGACATACGAGCCACAGTTCCCTGTGGTTGTGCGACCATTGGTCTGGGGGGTGGGCAAGTCCCGTTGAACTTATAAATGGCAATGGGTGGGATTGTTGGCAACTTGAACTCATTGGACAGCTAAGACACGCGCTTTTGGTATGTTTCATCCCCAGTGTGCTTAACATAGTGCTTATGGAGAGTCAGGATTTCCTCTGTGAGGGGTTGGGGGGTCAGTGATACTTCAATGAATTGCCAGTTATCAACAGTGAACAATGAACAAAAGTATTGATGATCGCTCACTCCGAAATGAGGCGCGAAAAAAAGAAAGCGAGGGTGTAAATATCTGGTGTAAAATGGTACATGTGGAGCCATGCGGCAATTCCTTCTTGGTGTTTGCGAACGACCAATTAGCACTACAAAAAGGTTTTTAAAGTTTTTAACGTATAAAAAAACGAGTGCTAACCCTATCTTTATTACCATATATTACAGGTTTCGTCGGGTTTAGTCAGGTTTCGCTGGGTTTCGTCAGGTTTTGCCGGGTTTCGACATTAAGCAGTACCGGTTGTAAACTTTAAAAAAATAAACACAAAAAAATGGCTCAGACTTTCAAAGCATGATGAGTTAATATAATACATGTTTAATTTTCTCCCCTGAGGCGTGGAGTTGGGGGTTAATTGATTGATTTGTTGATAATATGGATGAGAAGAGCGTTGTTTTCAATTGTGCTTTTGTAAGAGTTTGTGGCTATGTCACACGTGTTAATGATTTCGAAGCTCAGCTAATTAATTAAACAAAAATGGCTGTAACATTGCACATGATTATATAATTTTTGTACACTGGTAAGTGACATGCATATATATTCAGAATTATTTGTAGATTGAATAAAACGCACAAAAAACAGTTCCTTAATAATTTATATCTTTAATTTGTTGGTGATTGTTAAATTTGATTTTTTTTGTGGTGGCGACCCATGTGCTTGTTTTAACGTGGCACTCGGTCTTCCTCGTATGATACATTTAATTTTATTGTCACCCTTGTGCAAAATCAGCAACAAAATAAAGATTACAAACAAAATACAAACCACCACCACCACCAACAACAACATCAAAAACAACAACAATGCGGCTACTTTCGATTGGGACCTCAGATGGGAATGGTTTGTTTTCTTCATCTTGATCAGTCCTGCCTAAGATGGCCACCTGTCTTATACGGCCACTTTTCTCCTTGACAATGGGTGGCCGTCTTACACAGGTTTGACTGTATATTCCATCTCAAAATGTATCAATCTATTGTCTATTGATAAAAAAACTACTCGAGATTATGCCCTGTAAAACAAGACAAAAAATGGAGGTAGGTCTTTTTTTATAACTGCTCCCTCTGTGTGGGATTCCCTCCCACATTTAAGAGAAGCACCTACTTTGATGGCTTTTAAATCTGGTTTGAAAGCACATTTATTTTAAATCTCATTTTACTAATTTGTTTTATTCTCTTCCAACCGCAAGTGTGATCAGTAG